ATTTGACTTTGCATGAAACAAAACAAGGAAAAGAATGTTTTGTGTCATTGTGTTTCAAGTAGATAATATGTTTGATTTTAGTTCAGAATGTGTAAATCTTTATAAAATTTTATAAAGCTGTGATTTTAATTTTTTAGATGTTATAACTTCTAAATAGTTTCAAAGCTGAATTGATTTTAATATGACAAACTCATTTTCAGGAAGCAAAACAAGGAATGGTTTACTTTGTGTCATTCAGTTTGAAGTAAATAATTTGATTTTTATTCAAATGTTTAAATCTTAGAAATTTATATAAAGCCATGATTTTAATTTTCTAGAAGTTATAACATCTAAATAGTTTCATAAACTGAAATGATATTAATATGACAAACTCATTTATTTGACTTTGCATGAATCAAAACAAGGAAAAGAATGTTTGTGTCATTGTTTCAAGTAGATAACATAAATAGTTTCATAAAATGAAATGATATCAATATGACAAACTTGTACTTATTTTATTTTATTGTTATAATGCTGGTTATAAAAAAATGTTTTTACTACAGTTGTGTTGAATTATGTGCTAATTTGGTTTGCAATAAATAGTAAAATAGTAGTATTTCTTTAAAGATATTTTTATTCAAAGAAAAAAGATAGCTATTCTAGTTTAGTTAAAGAATTTCCAATAAGTTTACTTCAAGCTACATAAATGCCACTAATATATATCATGAATAAAAAATATTCAAGACAGTGCAGGTAAGTTAAAAGGTGACTCCATCTGAGGGGGACCCCATAATTTCATTAACTTAGGGTCCCCAAAAGTTCATAATCTGGTCCTAGTTGTAAGTAAGGTATATACTCAAAAGACAAATACATTCTTGTAAATTTATTGACAGATGTGAACATAACATTATAAATGGGAAATGATCGAATAGGAATTTCAGAACAATCAAAAAAGAAATTGAAAACCTTGGCAAGGTACAAACAAGAAAAAAACTGGTTTTAAGAATGTCACAGAAAAGATATTTGAGAAAAATTAAAAGGCTAATAAGCAATAAAAGTGGTTTGACGAGCCAAAAAATATTTGTAGAAGCTAGAGTTGCAAATGTAAACAGAGAAAATATGCAGAATATTAAAAACATTGATGAAAGGTATGAAAGCAAGCAAAATCTTTTACTTAGAAAGAAAGGTGTCAGTTGGGCAAAGAAGTAAACAAAGAATAATTTCTCAACAGTAATTGTTAATGATGAATGTAGAGCTACATTGGATATACCTCATGCCTAGGTTAGAATTTGGATCCATCCTGGGAGCTATCAATCCAAACAACTTAGAAGACAACAGAGGGAGGTGGAGTAATATTGTGGGTGAGTGTTGTCAGTAGTAAAATTATAGGTCATTAAATTTACATTATTTACATATAGACTATTGTCCACATCTTTGCTGTTACGATCACAGCATTTCAGCCATTGCATTGTGCACCCTAGCATTCTTCAGATGCAGTGAGATGCTTACTAAAGGATTATGACCATATCACAATGACAAAATACTGGTTTTTGCCCAATCACCAAATTTAAGCAATGTCGAGCCTAGTCAGTACGTAGATGGGTGAATGTTTGAGAATACCAGATGCTGTAAGTTTGGATGTGCAGGTGGTGTAATGGATAATGGCTCAGAATTATTAATTGGAGAGCTGAATTCCAATTCCAGATGGGTTTGTTTTTATTCATATGTATAAATATCCTTGGGAAAAGTATAAATCCACCTCTTCTCACCTCCCCCCAGTTATGGGTTAACTAGTATGACATGCATCATTAAACCATTATTATGTTAAAAAAATTCTTATAATCTAAAAATATTTTCTGGATTTAAATAACCCACAAAGGGTTGATAAGCCATAAAAAAACAAATCAATCAAACCCCAAACACTACAATCTTAACCTCTTCAAATCTTGAGTCAGTTGTTATCTATTCTCATAAACTTCACTTCCTACTCCTTCCTCTTTTATTTATGTCACACATCTTATTCAGTAACCCTCTAACTTGGGTGTCTCTCGGGCTTTGCATTAGGTGACCATTAATAAAAAATAAAATAAAACAATCAGGTTACCTCAAACTGGTTACCAAATTACATCAATACAATTAGTGATGTGCAAGGGTTTGGTGTGATGGCCGAGGCCAACTCCTTGATTGTATGCCTATAATATTCTAGAAGGAGGAGGGATGACTATAGGGCCTAGTACTGCGAAATGCGAGAAAGGAAGACATTTTAGATATGTAGAAACAGATGAAATAAACACTTTATTCAAATTAAAACTAAATTTTTATTTCATTTTTTAATTTGATTCCCACCCAATATAGATGCCCAAGGACATCGCACCTTTCTGCATGCTACTGAAGACAATGCTTCTGGTTCTTAAGATGTTCAAAATGGCTGCATAATTTCTCGACACTAACTAATGGGAAAAATATGGAATCCAGAGATGGCATTATTATTTTTAAAAATAAATAAAAATAAGAATCTATTTAGATAGCATTTTATTCTCACAGTAATATAAAGCAAACATGTTTTGAACCTGTCATATATTAACTAAACTGTCAGTAGGACACAAACAACTACAGGCAATGGGTAATGTTTTTGTTTTTATATTAAGTAGAGAAAAATTTGGTGAAGGAAATGTAAAATTTTTTGTATTATGTTTAAATTAGTTGGTGAAATTAGGTAAAAAAAATATAACAAAAAAATGAATAATTAAGCTAATAGAAAAATGTATATGTCAATACAACTGCAGACTTAGACACAACTTTGTGGGGAAAAGTACTTCCACCTCTCCCTATCCAAAGACTGTAGGGACAATGGCAAAGTGAAATTTGTCCCATATTTTGGTTGATTCAGAAGTGAACAAAGAAATATTAGCATCTAGTTCATAACTTCAAACACAATTGATTAACAGATAGATAAAAATGGGCACACTAAGAGAGATAGTTAGCTAGATACACAGATTAAAAAAAAGATAAAAACAGGCTTGTGTGTGTGTGTGTGTATAAACAGAATATAGAATCCAGAAAAAGTTTGATAAATTTTACAAATAGAAAATATATATATTTCTTTTGTTCTGATCTGAGGAAACCTATCTAACAATTGTGAAATGCATAATCAGGTCAATAAAACAGTTTTACACTTATCAAATATATATATATGAAATGGACAAAGTCCGATAATTATTTTAAGACATTTTATGTTTATACATTCTTTTTATAGATACAAATATTTAAGTAAATGCTCTGTTTATAATAAACAGTATTAAACAACATTTACTGGCCTGAATGTCCAAGAAATTTTCATAGAAAATATTTGTCCTCCAACAGGATTCGAACCTTGTATCCTATATGGAACTGTCATATAGCTCGACATGCATTGTAACTGATTTGGCCACAGAGGATTGTTTGGTTAGCAAGATCGATTTTACTGCTTTTAAACTTCAATCAGCCATGAATTTCTCGCATACATTCATATCTGCTCATGGCGTATCAAATGTAAACAAATGACGTCACACATTATGAAATGGACAAAGTCCGACAATTATCTTAAGACATTTTTATGTTTATACATTCTTTTTATAGATACAAATATTTAAGTAAATGGTCTGTTTATAATAAACAGTGTTAAACAACATTTACCAATCTATCTATAAAAAGAATGTATAAACATAAAATGTCTTAATATATATATATATATATATATATATATATATAGGAATATCCAAAGGTCTGCAGCCAAATGATGAAAAATGCATTTATTTTACACAAATATCTCACCATATAATTTTTCGAGTGATCTCCCTTGTACTGTTGGTGCCAGGTGGCTGTGTCTTTGTTGTTATAAGATATCAAAAAAAACAAAAAAACAAAAGATGAAAAGGCCAACTCTGAAAGAGCACACTGCAACAACAATTGGTTAAACATGGTTTTCTTTTTTTTTACTCTCTCTCTCTCTCTCTATATATATATATATATGTGTGTGTGTGTGTATATTATAAGCTATTTTCTCAGTTCATTGCAAGTTACAAGTTTTGTCCTGCCATATTGATGTAGGTGGGATGGCAGCAAGATTGAAGTTATCATTCTTTTAGATTGGTTGCCCTGACAAAGCTAAATAGCTCAGTTTGCCAACAGCTGACAGGAGCAATAATGTATTCAGGAAGGGAATGGCCAAGAGCCATGAAATATATATGCTGCTACAAATTCACTCTGCAGTTCAACAGACTTGGCACATCATTTTTAAAGTTCCTATAACTCTTCCAAAAACATTTTCATGTTTGGCCATTGAAATACCATTCTTCTGCTGCTATCACCTCCAAGTCATTTGAAAATTTCCTGTCACAGCATAGACTGTTTGATCATGGGATCATAGTTGAGTAACCATGTTTCAGCAATAGTGTCTAGTTGCTTCAATAATTTATCAGATCATTGAAAATGCTGCAAAATCAACTTGGAAATGTCCACTGTATATTAGTTTATGTTTTTTTAATTTTTTTTTTTTTTTTTTTTTTTTTTTTTTTTTTGGGGGGGGGAGGGGGGTCAGCTTTCAAGCATTTTGGATACCTGACTGCTTACCTGCTATAAACCAAACATGTTCTCTTGCTGCATTGAATATTACTGCTACATCTGGGTTGCTGCTTATGCTATGTATTTAGAAATTCTTGATTAAATACAAAGAAGAGTCTGCAATGTTATTAGTCCTGACTTGGAATCTCAGCTTCAGTCATTTTCCTACCACCCTAATATAGCCTCCCTATGTCTTTTCTATAATGCAGTGCATAAACAAATGGTAAGCTTATAAAGGTACAAGATAGATTTAAGTGAAAAGACAGTGTGCATCAGAAATCCACACATAAATAATACCATAAGTGGTTTGATGGTATGAATATTCTACTGCATAGGTATTTCTTGTATTAAGCTGATATTTTTTTGGAATATTTGTTCATGATAAGCACTGAATCTATGGTCCTTACAGCCACATTACATTCAAATACTGGTTCCCATACAACCACCGAAGTTAAGCAACACCAAGCTGGGTCAGTACCTAGATGGTGACCACTTGGGAATAACAGGTGGTGTAAGCTTGGAATTGTTAATTGGAGAGCCGAGTTCCACTTCCAGATGGATTCATTATATTCACTTATGTGCAAATACCCTTGGGAAAGCAATGACTCCACCTTTTCTCCCCCCCAGCTATGGGTTAATTAGTAAGACTTGCATCACTAGATCATTATCTAAAAAAAAAAAAAAAAAAAAAAAACATTCTTACAATAAAAATATTTTCTGGTTTTAAATAACCTGCAAAGGGTTGATAAATAAAAAAAAATGAGTGAATCAATTTGTGGCATTGGTGATGTAAATATAATTCTACAAGGGTTTAATGATCTTCATGATGGTGATATTTATGACCCAGAATTGAAAGAGAGTTCCAAAACTTGAAATTCTGGTTCTTACTTAACTACATAATAACTGTTTTCAATGTTCAATAAGCTAAGGTAACCTAATTTGTGAAATTTTTGTTGTGGTTTCTGAAAAAAATAACTGGCAAGTTTTTAGAAAATGTATATTTTGTTAGGGTTCTTTCTTTCAACATTTACACAGCTTATTAGCCCTCTGTTAGTACTGTGGGGAATTGTCATAGCATTAGTACCATGGAGTTCATTTCATGGAGCACTATTCAAATATACCAATAAAATATTACAGCTATCATTTAGTTCTTAATTTTCTTCTTATTAATATAAAAATAGAAAGGTTCGCTTGTCATCACATTCACACTTATACTCTTCCCTGGGTTTTAAACATGAGTAGAGGTTTATCCTTTGTTTCTCATTTAGGATTGGATTTCCAGTTCCTTCTTGCATCTTAGTGGCATTATCACCTTGCTTAGGGAGAACAGATTAAAATGTACAGGGGAACCACGGTTCATGAATTTAATTCATTCCTGAAGCCTGTTCGCAAGTCAAAACTATTTTTCCAATAGGAATCAAATGGATTAATCCATTCCTGGTGCCAAGATGATTGCTTATTTAAACTTTAACAACAGTACTTTGTACACAAGTTTATACACAAAACTAATGAAAATCATATAATACATAAAACTAATGAAAATCATTAAACCTAAGAAAAAAAACAATACTATACAGATAAAATATAGACTAACACTTCACTTTTACTGTACTTGTATGTAGGAGAGTTGATGGTGTAAGTGGAAGGGGAAGGAAAGAGATGTTATTGTTTGGAAAAGGGAAGGAAAGACATGATCATCTCTTTATTTATAAGAATAGTATAGATCATTGATTTCGCCATATGAAACTGAGTAAGAAGAGAATATCATCAATAATTGTTTTTCTCTTAACTTCTTTTTCCAGTATCATTGCTAGCTTTCTTTGAAGCCATGACTGAGGACTAATGAAGAGAAAAAAAGGCACAGTACAATAAAATTGGAAAAGAAAAGCACAGCACAACACACGAATGTATACAACATGGCAGTCGACTAAAAAATGATTCTGTCCAGGTTAACTCGGTTCAGCTCGGTTTTGGCAATGTTGTTCGAGAGCCAAGATTTTGTTTGATAACCGAGGCATTTTCATCTCAAATATTCTGTTCGAAAACCGATTTGTTCAACATGAAAGACATTCAAGAACCAAGGTTGCACTGTATATATATATATATATATAGTCTTGTGAGTTCTTTATATTTTTTATAAGATAAATAAAAACGTTTTATTTTGAAAAATTGAATTAAAAGACCAGTATTAGTTTTTAAATTTCAAAAACTTAAATATGTACAAACAGATTTCAATTCATTTTCAGTAAATAAATAAATTGCTTGTAATTCAAAAAAACATGAAAAAAACAAACTCCTTGTTAACAAAGGTATTCAGAAAGCTACTTAACTAATCATTAAAATTTGACTTGACACTTGCTGAATAATAAAGAAAAACAATTACTGTACATACTTTCGTATCATGCAACTTTTGAAGACCTAATTTTAAGGGGGTCACACCATACGCAAGAAATAAAATTAGCATAGCCCTGGCTATACCGTTGACCAAACTATATATCCATATACTGTAGTCAAATTAGCTTTAAAATTATGTATTCAAAAGTTACATGATACTTGAGTATATATGGTATGTGAAGGGTTAATAACAAAAATACCTACATTTGTAAGCACATCTCGTGGGAGAGTCCAAGATGTCTGGATGCCACACTCCTTGAGTGAATTAATTTTTTTTTTTTTTAATAAAATACCTAGGTAAAGAAAAGTTATATAAAAATAAATAATTCATTCTAAATAATTATAAATCTTTAAAACATTGTCCCAGTTGGGTTCTTTAAAAATTTGGATCCCTCTTGCTTAAAATCCTTGATCCACCCCTTATTTAGCCTTCTATACTGGCTATGAGGTTAATAAAGTATAGGGATTTTTCTTTTTTTATTCTTAATGCTGAATATAAATCAAACTTAACAGGGAGCAGGTGGCTTTTCCTTGTCTAATATAGAATGTGAAATACATTCTGTCCAGCAACCATGATTAAACACTTGCGGGGGGGATAAAATTTTATAAATCACAGATCATTTCCTTGTTCTTGTGATCAGTACACATATTTTATTTCAGAGGAAAAACTGGTTTATACAATAAATGGAAATCTCTAAATGCATGACTAAGTTGAATAGAGTTCAGGACAGTTTACTTTCATATTTTTAATCTATGACTCCAACTGGTTTTGTTTTTTTTAGAAAGTGCAAAGCTACTGATTTTGCAAAACGATCGGTTATCTTCTTCAGGATGTGTGAGCAATCATGACTCTCCACAACTTCCTCTCCTTCATAGCTCTTAATAATATTTAACCTTTTCACTATCCCTCTCACTGCCTCCTGCCATCCATTTACACAAGCTTGTTAGGTATGTTACTTGCTGTTTCCCTCTATTCCTCCAGGACATGGACGATCACGGCTCTCTACAACTTCCTATGCTTCATTGCTCATAATAATATTTGCTTTTTTACTGTCCCTTTCACTACATTCTGCCATCCATTTACACAAGCTTGTTAGGTATGTTAATCACGGTTTCCCACTGTCCCTTGAAGTCATATATAGTTATGGCTCTCCACAACTTCCTATCCTTCATAGCTCTTAATAATATTTGCCTTTTTACTATCCCTCGCATTCTGCTCTGCCATTTACTTACACAAGTTTGTTAGGTATTTTTCTTGCTGTTCCCTCTGTGCCTTCAGGATATGGGTAATCATGGCTCTTCACAATTTCCTATTTTTCATAGTTCTTAATAATATTTGTCTTTTTTATATTCCTCTCATTCCCTGTTTTCCCATCGATTTACACAAGCTTCCAAGGTAGATCACTCGTTGTTTCATTCTGTGCCTTCAGGATATGGGTGATCATGGCTCTTCACAACTTCCTCTCCTTCATAGCTTTTAATAATATTTGCCTCTTACCTCTCACTCTGTTCTACCATCCATTTATACAAGCTTCTTAGGTATGTTACTTGCTGTTTCCCTATATCCCTTCAGGACATGGGCAATCATGGCTCTCCATAACTTCCTCTCCTTCATAGCTCTTCTTAATAATGTTTGTTTTCTTGCATTCCTTCCAATTCCCTATTCTGCTATCCATTTACACAAGCTCCTACCTTAGTGACTCATTGTTTTCCTCTGTGCCTTCAGGATATGGGCAAACATGACTCTTCACAACTTCCTATCCTTCATAGCTCTTAATAATATTTGTCTTTTTATATTCCTCTCACTCACTGTTCTTGCTATACATTTACACAAGCTCCTAAGGTAAGTTACTCACTGTTTTCTTCTGCTCCTCTTGCCTTCAATATGTCTTGTGAGTATCAAATTCTCTAAACCTTATTGGAATTTATAGCTGAGAATTTTCTATTGCCTTAATCTATATATGTGTGTATCTTTTTCTTATTAAAATCTTCACAGTATTTAGTGTTGTTGACGTTATTCTTAACATTTTTGTTCAGATTTACAAACTCTACGTTTCATTCAATTTCGAAAACCACTCAATGAAATTTGAATAAGTTGAAATATACTTTGACAAAAACCCTACTTTGCAGTTTAATAATTTCTTTAATTTAATTTAAAGGGACTTCATGGTAAAGAATATCTAAGAAAATTTCTTTTTTCCTTTTCAATAGTGAAGAATAAATTCTTAGGACTTCTTACTCTTGAGCATTCGACATACACAAATATTTCTTTCTGGAGCCAAATCCCAACTTTTTGAAGCATTTAGCCTTGTTCATAGTTCTTACAAACACAGGGCAAACTGGAAACTGGATTCTTGTGTATATAAAAACTTAAATAAAAGCTATACAAAAAACAATATTGTATTTTTATTAAATACTAGCTTAAAAGCCACCATATCGGGCAGTATTTAAGCTAGCTCCTGCTTGCCTTCATCACAACAGGAGTAGATGTGATAGGCAACAATAAACTACAGAAGAAGTTGATCACTGCATTTAAGTATTGCATTAATATTTAAGCTTACCTTCAACGATAATTCTTCTGCCACCACTTAATTTAAAGATAATTTGATGTATGTAGGTCCTTACTTTCCATACAAACAATTATTTTTATTACATGGGTGAAATTGCTAGATTTTGCAATTAATTTCTACTATTCCCAAATTTTTTTCTCAATCATAAAAATTGTATATCATACAAAAAAAATTGTCACAAAAAAAAAAAAAAAAGTTACTGAAAACTTGGGAATCCAAAATTTCAGGATTTGGGGTCCAGATCTGGCCCAAAATGTTTTTAATTTCCTCATGGAGTTGGCCTGATTCCAAAATGGTATGTTATGTTGGGCTACAACCTCTAGGAATAAAGCTGAAAAAGAGTGACACACTGACATTCACATTTATTATATAGAAGTATTTGTTGAATAAATATTCCCAAATGGCTTTGGAAAAGGCACCAGTTTATTATCACTTGTCCCCAAAATTATGAATTAAATAGCAAGGTAGATTTGGCTCTCTAGTTTTGAGTAGTAAACAGTCTAAGAGGGGACTAAACTGAAAACACACCACTATCCTGTCCTTCCCAAGAAC